TTTTTTAGCGATTGATATTTTCTGGGGTATTTGAGACCCTCACTTTAATCTAATAGAAAAAGAAAGACCCCTTATATGGTATCCTCGTGGTTTAAATGTTTGGAACAATGAACATATCCTTTGACAACCGATTTGTATATAACTGTAATCGTTTGAAGATTTTTCCGACGGCTCTGACGTTCTGCTTCTTTTGACATTTAAATAGTAAATAAATCCCTACGGGCGGCTTGTAAATCGGCTAATAATGTTCACGGCCGATACATTGTCCAAAAATTAGAATATTTGGTCGAGAAGCAAAGCTTCGAGAGAAAATGTGAAGTTTTGAGGACAATTTTTCAGCTAAGGACATTATCAGCCGTAATACCAGCAAGTCGGAAAGGGGTTTATTTATTTTATAACCAACCCCCCTGTTAATTTTCATATCACGCGAAACCGCTTACATAAAAAAGTGCTTATCTGATGCGGATGCGGTTGCGACAACTTTTTAATATTTTACTGGACTCTCTAAAAAGAGTGTTTTTCTTCTGTGTAAGATAATTGAGCTGGCTTTCTTCCACTGGCTTTGTTTCTTTTCGACGGAAATAATCCGAGGAAAGACCGGGGTTATAGCGCGGTAATTGTTCGGTGATTTTGCACCAAGTTACGTAAAGTAGCCAATATAATGGCGCGAAAATTAATGGTTTGATTATCACGTTATAGGCTTGTTTCAAATTTCGCTCGAGACTTTGTGTCACCGTGTTTGGGTTCCTACAATTACTGATCACATTTCATCATTTGCAGCTCTATTTAAGAGTTAGTCTTGCTGACTTTTTCAAACCTCTTCTACTGGACTTTTATTGAGCTATTTCATGGACTATTATACTCGAGAAAACCAATCGCCCACAAAAGCAGTGATCTGATGACTACAAATAAGTAGAACAGCTGAACAGGAAGAAGACCTGTGGCGTTTATTTTCACCACTCATTAAACCGTTCTGTTTTGTAACCATAGTTACAGCACTTCAAACACTTCTCTAGAGGATAACAAGACAAGACTTTCACTTCTAACCTGACACACACATACACAATATCAAGTACGACAAACATTTTGTCAGTCAGAAGGTAAGAAAAATATTTGTGGGGTACTTTTCTACTTTCACTCAGAAGGTAAGAAATATCTCTGTGAGCTACTTATCTATCGTTCTCAAATATCATCCGAAAGTCATAGAATGCTTGTGACCAGTCTAACTATGATCAAATCGTGTGATGCTTAATGTTAACTACCATGAGCAAAACGAGACATAAAAAACTTAGGCCTCTGTACTTTACATACATTGTTCAATTTAAAGTTGCTACAAAGTTAATTTTCATGTTAATAACGTGCAATGCTGTTCTATTGTACTGAAGAGTATTTTAAGACAAAAAAGGATAGATTGTCAAAATTTTGCATTTCAGAAGTGATCTTATTGCTCCTAACTCTAATGCCGCAAGTTATAAGGATAAATTGTTAAAGGTTTGTATTTCAGAAGTGATCTAACACCTTGGCGGTAGCAAGTCTGCAAAAATTTGTTTCTTGCTCCTAACTCAAATGCCGAAAGTTATAAGGACAAATTGTTAAAGGTCTGTATTTCAGAAGTGATCTAACACCTTGGCGGTAGCAAGTCTGCAAAAATTTATTTCTTGCTTTTAACTTAATTGCCGCAATTTCAATGTTAAACAGGTTAAAAATAAACATATTGATAAACTCCTGTCACCTCCGATAAGGGTGACGTGCTATATTTTGTTCTTCTCCGAAGCTTTATAAAATATTATGGCTTATCAGAATAAGATGAAATTTACAAGATAGAGTAAGAATTTAAAAATTCCCCAATGCAGACAAAAAACAACAGTCTATTATTATCCTCTTCCTGCGCCTTTTGCAGCTGTTAACTCACCTTCGAAAATGAATATTTTATATGAAGAAATTAATACTAGGTTTTTTTTGGGAAAGAGACGACACAAGCCTGTTAGCATAACAACGTGTTTTAGACCAATAACATAACTGAACGAAGTATTTGCCTTCAAAATGTGTTAATTAAAGGTTCCTTTAAGTAGAAAAAGCTGGTAAATAATGCCGAGCACCTGCCTAACATTTGTTAACATTCAAATTTACAGGAAAACAGGAAGATTTATATTTTGGGACACTCACTATCATATTTATTACCTTGAATTTACAATTATTTATTTATAGCGATGCAGTTCAAGTTTTCTCTTCAACCGATCATTAGTATTCTCTATATCTTCCTTGGAATTATTCTCCCGCCATGTTTCTGTTGCACCGGTGAGTATAAATCCCTTTTTTAAATTTCTTGTGTCTCATCTTTCTGGTGTCGTTTCCTCAAAACCATTACACGAACCACACATGCTACCTGCTGATCAAAGGAAATAATCTATGAGCAGACAATAAAATTTTTCTAGCTCAAAATGTCTTCTATTATAGAAAAGGAGATACAAAAAAGGTCAAATTTCAAAAAGACCTCACCACAGACACATCAACGGCTCACAATAATGAAAATTAGACGTAACTGGGAGGCTTTCATTACCAAAAATTTTAATATTTGATTGTGAATTAATGAGCGGAAAGAAAATATGACAAAAAATATCAAGAATAAAAGCTCACCACAGACACATCAACGGCTTACAATGATGAATTAGGACTAAAGATTCACAAATATCGTGGTTTGGTAATGATCGCTATGAAAATTTTCTTGATATTGGTAGAAAAGGTTGTGGTTATTCATCGTGATGAATAACAATAATAACTAAGTTTTTCGTTTGGTTCACGATGTAGTCACGTGTGATGTAGATCGCGGCATTTCGACTGCATACTGCTAGTCTTCTTCAGGCGATGAGGTCGACCTGGTCATGCGTAATCTTATAAAGCGTGGTGCTCTGCTGTGATTAGTTGTTTTTTCAACAGCTCTGATTGGTGCATTTCGATCCTTGCTGTTCTCTCAATGATTTGCTCCCTCGGCTGTCGCACGGCTCTCCTGTTGTTGTGTTTTTTGATCATGGGCATCCACGCTTCTGAAATTTCTATTCCACTCTCCCTGTTGATGTTGATAGGGTGAAGTCTTATATGAATTGCCTCTTTGCCCCTGCGCGTGTAGTACCGTAATTTCCGGTCGATTACCCGCACGGCCGATTACCCGCACCGGCCGATTATTGCATACGGCGAAAAAAAAAGTCAACGGATTACCCGCACCGGTGGATAACCCGCACGTTGTTATTCAACTTTTTCGGTGGCGAAAACGTGACATTAAGGCGATACATTTCAGTCTTTCGATTCAGACATGTGCACAATTCTGTGTCAATATTAGCTTATACTTTATTGATTGATTATTGCTGCTGCTCTATTACCGATTTCATCGGCAAGAGTTATTACTCTAAGCTTATAATCAAACGTAAAACTGTGACGTGGGCGTTTCACAGCAGGCATTTTAACTTAATTGGTGACTCGTGGATACACTTATCGCGAATGATCGAGGTTTATAATTCTTATTCAGTCAGTTACCTTTTTATAGCATGTAGGAGCGTAATGAGCAATATCCATTGTTCATTTGTCGTTAAAATACTTTTTCAGCGCGAAATTAGTTAAGTTTCGCACCTATTATTTTCAACATTCTGGTGATGCATTTGGGATTTAAAATTACTGTCGGCAATTTCTCAAAAAAATCGATATCTCCTGTTCTACTGGGCCTAACAAGTCCCTTAAAACGGGAAAATTCTCTTTAGCTCAAGCTAGTGAAAACTGGAAATTTGTTACTGATGCGCCGGATATCCTTGGATTATTTTTGTCACCATCAAGGTTTTGTTTTCACGCGTGCCGATAAAAATTTGTTTGTCACGCAACTAATTATGCGTGAAATAAACTCGAGTTGGCATCATGTTTTCGTGCCGCTTTGTGGCACTTTTGATACAATAAAATTCATTTGAGAGGTGGAAACGCAGGTAGGTGAGAAATTTTTTCAATTCAACTTCCAGAAGAATTTAAAATTGTCACATAACCCGCACCTCCCTATTACCCGCAGTGGCGCGGATTTAATGCAAAATCAACAGATTACCCGCGGGTAATCGACCGGAAATTACGGTAATAAGGGTCACGATCAATAAACTTTACTTCGTTCCAGAGTGGCTTGTGTCTGGTCCGGTGTTGTGGGCATGCTCTGAAACGTCAGAGGTCTCGGTACGGGCGAGTCGAATGTTTCGATCGTGCTCGTTAATTCTGTCTTGCATAGGTCTTCCAGTCTCTCCGATGTACACCTTGCCGCATTCACAGGGAATCCTGTAAACTACGCCATCTTGTTTAGCCGGGTCGAAAGCGTCTTTTGTTCGTACTGACTGAGATCTTAGCGTAGTCTCCGACTTGAAATCAGCGTGTACGCCTTGTTGTTGTAGGCAGCGGCGAAGCTGTTCGGACAGACCTTTGACATAAGGTAAAACCGCAGTAGCTTTGAACTCGTTAGCGCGTTCGGCACTGTTGTTTGGTTTTCCCGTCTTAGTAAGTTTCTACAAGAAAGAAAAAGGATAACCATCAGAAACCAGAACAGATAACAGATGTTTTTTCTCCTCGGAGATGACGGAGGGTTTTGTTACGAGACATTTGGGGCGCTCGTTAAGGCACTTAACGCGGTATTGTTAAGTACCTTAACGAGCTCGCCATTATCCCTTTTCTTTCTTGCAGAAACTTACCAAGACCGGAAAACCAGAAGCATGGATGCCCGCGATAAAAAAAATACAACAACAGGAGAGCCGTGCGACAGCGGACCTGCAAAGAAAGCAAATCACTGAGTGAACGGCAAGGATCGAAATGCACTAATCAAAGCTGTTGAAAAAACAACTAATCACAGCAGAGCATCATGCTTTATAAGATCACGCACGACCAGTTGACCTCATCACCTGAAGAGGATCAGCAGTATGCAGTCGAAACGTCGCAATCTACGTCACACGGGACTACATCGTGAGACAAACGAAAAACTTAGCTTTTATAGTTATTTACCACGATGAATAACTACAACCTTTTCTACCAATATCAAGAATATTTTCATAGCGATCATTACCACACCACGATATTTGTGAATCTTTAGTCCTAATTCATCATTGTGAGCCGTTGATGTGTCTGTGGTGAGATTTTATTCTTGATATTTTTTGTCATATTTTCTTTCCGCTCATTAATTCACAATCAAATATTAAAATTTTTGGTAATGAAAGCCTCCCAGTTACGTTGAATTTTCAAGGGATGAGAATCGCCTTTAGGGAAAATTATTCAGGGTTGTCATGAAGTAAAGTTTTGAAATAAAGAGGTTTAATGTGCTTTTTTCGTCAGTGAAAATAAGAACTGAATTATCTCGAGCGAGTGAAAACTAAATGATGTATTTGTTTTGCCAACCACAGACGACGATAGTCGACACATCAAATTCAAGGACCCAATACCGAATATGGCCATGAAAAGTCACGCGATCAAAAGTGCAGAGGTGCCAAACGAAGGGAGCTGCAGAGTAATGTGTTTGATGGAGCCTAATTGTGTGTCCATCAATGTTGGACCTGTTGTAGGAGGAAACCAAAAATGCGAGTTGAATAACGCCACGGAGGAAAACCATACCCCAATTTTTCTCGTGAACAATCCGGGTTACACATATCTTGCAATTGAGGTAACATTTCACATTCTTACGAAACTAAGATGGTAGAACAGATTGTTTCATTTTCTTAGGCTAAAGTGACCTCATCCTTGACACAAGGAAGATCTGCACAAAAGTTTATTTTGTTTTGTCAACAGAATCCATGCAACAGCAGCCCATGCTTAAACAGTGGCACCTGTCAAGCTGGATTCACCTATAAAGGTTTTCGTTGTGTCTGTCGGGAAAGATTCGGTGGAGAAACTTGCCAAATCAGTAAAGGTGAAATGACTGGATTGCTTGGGCCATTCTCTCGAGTGGTACGCGAGGAGTTACTCGCTAAAGTCCCAGACTTGCCTTCAAGAAGAAAGCTAAAAATGGAAAAGCGTATTAATGTAACTGTTAATTAATATAGCTGGTAGATATTAAGGAAAAAGAAATGGTTCTAGCTAATGTTCAGAATCAAGTTTTATCACCCAGAGTAACAGTCAGGAACGCAAACAAAATGCACTCAACATCCAAACCATTTAAAGTGGGCGTTTTGTTTTATATTGTTTTTTGTTTGTTTTTACTGATTTTCAGTTAAGAGAAACTGCGCAGAAATCTTTAAATCCACGGGTAAACCAACTAACGATGTGTACACCATTAAACCTGATAATTTGTCTGCCTTTGATGTATTATGTGACCAAGTAACAGCCGGTGGAGGGTGGACAGTGTTCCAGAAAAGACTGAACGGCTCGGTTGATTTCTACCGCTACTGGAACGACTACAAACATGGCTTTGGTGACCTAAAAAGTGAATTTTGGTTGGGACTGGACAAGATTCACCGGCTGACCTCAGATAATAAGAGCATGCTACGTGTGGACTTGGAGGACTTTGAAGGGAATACTCGATATGCTGAGTATAACATGTTTGGTGTTATGAGTGAGAAAGACAAGTACAAGCTGATCCTTGGCTCTTATTCAGGTAGAACAGTCATTTCGTCGCTTCTATTTTAGTCATTCTAAGAGGTAGAGGGGGAAGGGAGGAGAGTGCTGAGTAATGTAAATATGCATAACATCTTTTACATCAATAGCTTTGGAAGACAAAAAAGTAATCTCAGCTCATTGATATGCAATCCCGAACAACGCACGCCGGACGTTGATTGGTCCAAAGGTATTTGCCGGTGGATCATATGCAGCTAACCTGACCAACTAATCCAACTCTGATGAGTGCCTCGGCAAACATATTTATTGACATTATCAGATTGAGTGATTCAATTCCTAGAATCTTCGACATGAATCACAGATATTACTAAGAATACTTTTACTCCATATCATTATTGTTAAATTATACTTATCCGATATTTCAAGGTTTCTTTTGAATTAGCAACTGCTAATTGTCGGTCAAACATAATACTCATAGTGCGGCTCGTTTTTTCAGGAAATTCTGGTGACTCTCTTGCTCTACATCGCGGTATGCCATTCACCACTAAAGATCAAGATAATGACCATCATGGAGATTACAACTGCGCCATTAAGTACGAAGGAGCCTGGTGGTACGAGAGGTGTCACCGCTCGAATCTCAATGGTTTATATCTTCGTGGCCAGCACTCCTCCTTTGCTAATGGAGTGAACTGGAAACACTGGAAAGGACAACATTACTCTCTAAAGAGAACCGAGATGAAAATAAGACCAGTGGATTTCTGAACCGTCATGTTTATGGCACAACAATGATACAGTTCCAACTTAACAAAGGAAACGAGTGTCTTGTTCAAGTCTATTCAGCATGTAATAGTCACTCTAAAATTGGAGCTTAGCGAAATGTTGTTCACGTTTTCCTTGCTTAATCTTCTTTGTCCGAGTTAATCAAAATAGGAATAGTTAATTCTGTAGAATCAGCCAGTTAACCGATAATACTAAGAGTCATAATAGTAATAATAGCGTAATTAATCTATATAGCGGTACATACAAAAAGCTCCTTCTCCTAGTTAGAAATTGACAGTTAATCATAAGTAGCTCTGAAAAAATGCGTCTTTAATATTTTCTCAGAAAACAGAAAGTAAGGGGCTCAATTTAAGGTCTATGGGTGAGACATTCTACAGCCTGGGAGCGGAGGCTGAAAAGACCCTGTCTTCATAAAATTTCAGGTGGATCTGAGGTATTCAGAAGAGTCATCCTTGAATCGCAATGGCTTGTATTATCATGGCCATCACGCTTCTCATGCTCCTCCTATCTCGGTTCTTCAAGTTTTGACAGTACTTTTGCTTCTGTCCACCTAATCGAGTAATTTTGTCGAGAGCATTTCTTGCAGGATGCGTTCTAAATCGGAAAACCATAATCTTATAAACATCACCGTGGTTAACTCCAGAGGAAAATGCGACACATTGTGTTAGTTCTAAAACTTGATATTTCCATAAATTTTTAATTTAATATCTCTGTGAGCTACTTGTCCATATTGCTCAGACCAAGCCCTTCTTGCCAGGAAAATTAACGATCAGATCCTGGGAGTTAAAGGGTTAGGACTGATTTTCACTGCTGACTTAAGTACAGATACAAGCGTAACAGCTCTTGATTCACCTTAATGCAAGTACAAGAAAAGAGAAAGAAAGTGCTTATGCTTGTGTTTATGAGCGTGTTGAAGCTGTCTCCATAGTAAAGTAAGAGCTGTTATGCTTGGGTTAGCGATGGCTTTTGTGCTTGCATTGCCAATAAAAACCAAGTTTTTCTCTTCATGCATGCATTATTTGAAGTTCTCATGCAATGCCTGATCTCAGGGGAAAAGGTGGCATCTTGCAGAAAAAATTATTTTTTCCTTTGATACTTTAAGCTGTGCAACAGACGTCTCCATCCAATTTTCCAACTCTCTCATCTTATTTCGGACACCTTCTCTGATTTTAGACACTTGGGTCTGGTGTTGAACTTTTCCCTCGGGAAATGGAGCAGGGGTAACAAAGGTAGCAGGATGTTAGAGGCAGGGGGAGTAACTAAAGAACCAGAGAAGCAAGGGGTGCATTAACTACATATGGAAAAGTAACAAATCAGGAGTTAAAAGGTAATAAATTTGATTAAGTCACCAATTTGTCTTGTATTGTCAACTTTGTTAAAGTATTTTTTTATTGTAGTGATGTAATTTACAGTGTCGCTGTATGCAAGCACATAAATTCAAGAACATTAAATGCATACAACTCTTCCAAAGCTGTATCCTTAAAAATGATAATATGATTGATTAATATAAGTACATAAAGCTGACTGAATTTCTGACTTTAAAAAAATGGCTCTCTGATATTTCAAACAAAAATCCAAATTTTCTTCTCACTTGCTCACTGAATTTTAATCATTTTAATTTTTACCCAAAGACACAACCTTGCTCATGACACACCATTTACTCCTTTTTATTAATTATTTAAATTTCATGGATACCACATTCACAATACAGTCCTGCCTCACCACTGGCCACAGAGCACATGTTAAGGGCAGCTGATCCTTCTAGCCTGATGCTGAATAAAATAAAAATAGATAATCACTTGAGTAAAGTGATTTACTTCCAGTTATAGAAGTCTTATTTATTAATCTTTACCTGTGAACTGCAATGGGTTTCTATGCAAACCTTCTGAGATTTGACATCACAACATTTATGATTTTCTTGAGGAGCTCAGTTCTGTGATAACAAGAGCTTTGCTTAGATCTGTGGAATAAAGTGGGTTGTGACATCAAATGTAACCAGGGAGCAGTGATGTTCCATTAATCCATCTGCTCCTATAGCGACCAAAAGGCTGTGACATCTACCACAGAGACTGACATAGTTTGGCTGCGCACTAACACTCATATTTTACCGCATGAATCTGTTGAATAATGCAGCTTAGAGGACAAAGGGCTAAAGCTGATCTTGGACCAAGAGTGGGGTGGAGCGAAGTTATGCGCAGGCGCCAAAATGGCAGCCACGAATCTTTTTCGTTCTGCACTTTTGTGCTTGTTTTTAGTATCTTATATTGGTATTTTACCAGTTAATCAGCTGCAAGACTTGCCACTACAAGACCAAATCGAATATCCCTATCAAATATCTCAAGTGTTAACGTCTGTCAACATTAGCGGTTCAACCGGTTTCCATCGAACAGGCCGTGCAATTTGCGTTTGGAGAAAACATGGCTTTGTTTCCCTCAGCATTCCCGGACACGATCCTCCGATTGAAATAACTATGTATATGGACGTTGCAACCAACCCGGGCCCAAGCTCTTCCTTACATCAACGAAACTGGCAAACAGATGGAACCATAAATCATCCTCCAAGTTTTAAAATTCGCGGGAATTCAGTTTGTCTTTCCTATTTGCATACTAACGACTGCACGAGACTCTGTTATTCACGCGAAGATCTTCTCAATATTCGCCGTACCATCTCAATACCGCCACCTTCTAATGCTCTAGGCTCGTTAAAACTTGCTGGAATTCTGAGATATCGTGGAAAGAGAGCAGGAAAGCACCGAATACCAGTAATTATATCCAATCAATCGCTGAAAACACGACACTTGCAAAGAAGTTATCAACGGGCACCGGGAAGAAACATCAATAATTTGATTACAATTCCAACAAAGAATGGCAAAATGCAAAAGCAAAACACCAGCCATTTCGTACCAACCATTATGTTAGCGAATACTATGTCACTGGTTCCTAAGCTGAGTGAAGTTGAAGAACTAATCTTAAGGGAAAAAATTCAGGTCTGCTGCATTACAGAAACCTGGCTGAAAGACCACATCAGCGACACAGTTGTAAACATTGAAGGATATAACATCACACGGAATGACCGATCATCTCACGAGCATGGAGGAGTCTGTGTATATGTCAAGGAGGACGTCAAATATGAAATTCCCGAGAAGTTACGTTGCTGTAACGACCATGAAATAATCTGGCTCAAATTAGATCCATCACGCTCTCCCCGCGGTTTTTCTTGCATCTTGCTGGCCGTCGTTTACTACCCAGGCCGTAACAGTCCAGCAGAATCCGACAGTCAGAATTTGCTCAACCATCTATTTGACAGCTTGAAATCAGCCGAATCTTTGTATCCAAATTGTGGAATTATTGTCACTGGCGATTTTAACCGTCTTGATATTTGCCATTTGCGGAACCATTTTAAATTAAAGCAGCTTGTTAAATTCCCCACAAGAGGCCAGGCCACGCTTGATCTAATACTAACAAACATGGGCAATCACTTCTCAACGCCCGAGAGCTTTCCCCCCTTTGGTCTGTCAGACCATAGCACAGTCATCGTAAAGCCGAAGGAAAGGATACTGAACCAACATACCAGGAAAAAGATCAATATCAGGGATATGAGAGAAAGCAAGAAGACAAGTCTCGGCCGCTATCTCAGCAATGTCGACTGGTCATGCATCAATATGCAAAGCTCCTGTGAGGGAAAACTCCGCAATTTCAACGAACTGATAACAAACGGCATAAATAACATCATGCCAGAAAGGTCGATTAAAGTTTACCCCAAGGACGCCCCTTGGATGACCATAAAACTCAAGGAGTTGATTCGTTTGCGTCAAAATGCATTTCATTCCAACAAGAAGGGTCCAGTTTTCAGATTCTACCGCAATGCTGTCAATAGAGAAAGGAAACTATGCAAAGCAGCCTACTATACTTCAAAAGTGCAAGATCTCAAAGGTGTGAATCCCCGTCAGTGGTGGAAAGAGATAAATAAACTGAGTGGATCCAAAAAACAAAACCTCCTCCCTCGATGTACAGCAATTCACCAACATGTCCCCCCAAGAAATCGCCAGTGCAATAAATGAAGCTCTTCTAGAACCGCTCCAGTCTTATCAGCCTATCAACTGTGAGAACACGTCTGTTCTCCTTCCTACAGGAGAAGGCGCCGAATTCCCTAAAATATCAACACATCGAGTGTACATTAATCTGAAACGCCTCAACAAACACAAAGCTCCTGGCCCGGACGGCATACCTAATTGGGTTCTATAGGAATACGCCGAAATTTTAGCACAGCCCATAACGGACATTTTGAACACTTCCTACAAAGAACAAAAATTGCCGTCAGTTTGGAAATTGGCGAATATAACACCCCTCCCAAAGGTAAAACAAGTGACTGATCCCAAGAAGGAGCTAAGGCCAATTTCACTTACACCTGCGTTATCAAAACTTGCTGGGGATTTTATAGTTTCTGACTTCATCAAACCGGCCGTGGAAAAAGTAGCGGACCCAAATCAGTTCGGAACGGTATCTGGATCATCCACTGTACTGGCACTCATAAGCATGATACACAATTGGCTTGAAGCAACAGACGGAAACGGAGCGTCAGTTCGGGTCCTTCTTTTTGATTACCGAAAGGCCTTTGACCTAATAGATCAGTCCATCCTAATATCAAAACTGAATCAACTGGACATTCCGAAGAGCTTTATTAACTGGATGGTTGACTTCCTTTCAAATAGGTCTCAGAGAGTTAAACTTGGCAATGACTGTTTCTCTGAGTGGAGCAAAGTGCCTGCCGGAGTACCACAGGGAACCAAACTGGGCCCCTGGCTTTTCCTTTTAATGATAAACGATTTGTCAGTTTCGCTCGACATTTTTAATCTGTGGAAATACGTTGACGATACGACGGTATCAGAAACCGTCCCGAAAGGAAAGATTAGTCACGCGAAAAGTGCAGTTGACCAAGTACAGTCCTGGTCTGAGGAAAATCTATTTCAATTGAATTGCGCAAAAACCAAAGAACTGTTGATCAGCTTTAGCCCTCAATACCCCCAATTTCCAAAAACCAACGTG